TGTGGGTTGCTTTCTGACTGGCTGGGGATTGAACTCGTGCTACAGAGGCTGCGGATTGCTTAATAGTGCAGTGCTTAACCCCTTGCACCACCAGGGAGGCCTTACCCAGATTAATTTAAAGATTTATTTATACATACAAGAACTGGGGTATAGGCCAGAGGTGTGGGGGGGTGAGAGGATTCACCAGAGACAGAGTGGGGAACAGAACAGGCAGAATGACTGAAATACACTGCTGAGGGGAACAGCGGGCGAGTCAGGAGAGGTCTGCTGAGCCATATGGGTAGCTCCCTGGCCGGGGATCGAACTGGTGCTGCAGTGGCTGCCGGCAGCTTCATCGGTTGCATCTTAACCCCTTGTGTCACCAGGGAGGCCCACCAGATTATTTTAGAACAACCCAGACATCATATATTTGTAGCTAAGATACTCATTACCAATCTTCACAAGGGAATAAATTATGACAGAGTTTAGTGTGGAAGCAAATACAAGTTGCACACATAGACAGTATAGTAAGGTAGATTGTTAAAAGCCCATTAAAGAGTCAAAAACCAAAGCAGTAACATCTTTAATGAGTATTATTTGGACTTTTATGAAAATCCCCATACATGGCAGTGGTATGCTTGGCATTAAAATCCAATCCCAGTTTTATGCCATCATTAGAAATCTGTCAACATGTGCAGAAGTGCACAGGCCCGACTTTCAGTCTGGTAACTCTGATGCTTTTCCTCCTACCTCCTTAATCTTGGGACAGTGCCTCAAATGCCACATTACTACATTATTCCTTTTGACATGCCAGCATTGCAGGCTCTTCTGAAAGCAGGGCAAGTGGGACTTTAATAATCACTAGCAATTTAACTCTGTTTTATATACCTTTTTTTTAAATTACAAAAGTGACATGAGTTCATTATATATAGGCAATTTGGAAAACACAAAAAAGGCCAAAAAAGACAGGATAAGTTCCCATAAATCAGAGAATTCACCAGAGCCAGAGCGGGGAGCAGAGCAAGCAGAAAGACTGAAGCACACTGCTGAGGGGAGCAGCGGGCGGCAGGAGAGGTCTGCGCGCCATGTGGAACCCTCCTCTGGTGGCCGGGGAGCAGCCAGGGATTGAACTGGCGCTGCAGAGGCTGCGGGCAGCTTCGCAACCCAGCGCTCAACCGCTGCGCCACCGGGGAGGCCCCAGGAATAGTTTTTAAATTACTTTCATTACTTCATAATACATATAGCGAACACACTTCCATATTCTTTTTTATGTTTGCACAATATTCCACTTAAAAAAGACCAAATAATGTCTTCTGAGGGAATATTTAAGTTATTTCCTTTTAGACATACTTTTGTGAGATACATTCCTAAATCTGAAACTGTAAATAGGGAACAGTTTTTCCTTAGGACACAATCATAGGAAAGAAATAGTTGGGGCCGAAGGTATGCATTATTTTTAAGGTCTCTCTTTTCCTAAATGTAATACCAACTATCCTTTAGAAAAAATCATACCAACAGAGTATAAATGTACCTGTTTCCATGCACCTTTTCCACCACTATGATAAAACAAAAAATCTGTTACTTTGACAGATGAAAACATGTTATTCAACATTTTTGTTAAAAGATTTATTTATTTATGCATATAAGAGCTGGGGTACAGGCCAGAGGTATGGGGGCGGTGAGAGGATTCACCAGAGACAGAGTGGGGAACTGAACAGGCAGATTGACTGAAATACACTGCTGAGGGGAGCAGTAGGCGAGACAGGAGAGGTCTGCTGAGCCATATGGGTAGCTCCCTGGCTGGCTGAGAATCTGTGGACTGCTTCACAGCGCTGCACTCAACCTGCTGTGCCACTGGGGAGGCCCTGTCAAACTGCAACTCTTACTTGGGTCTCCAGTCTGCATATTTTCAATTTGCCAGCCTCCCTAATTACATGAGACAATAGTTTAAAATAAACCTCTTTCTATAAACATCCTGTTGGTTCTATTTCTCTGGAGGACCTTAGTTTAGGAAGCTCACTTTTGAAAGTTCCTGTTTCCGTACCTCCTTTAGTAGCTTTAAAAAGTTGATGGGAAAGTACCTATACCTTTTTCCTGGATGAAAAGTATTTTCAAACGTAACTATTCCTTGGGGCCCACGTGGTGGCACAAGGGTTAAAGACACAGCACTATCAAGCTGTTGCCAGCCCTGCGGCATGGGTTCATGGGTTTGATCCTCACCTGGGAGCTAACCCACATGGTGCAGCAGACCTGTCCTGTCTCGCCTGCTGCTCCTCAGCAGTGTATTTCAGTATTCAGTAGATCCACCTGTTCTGCTCCCCACTCTGTCTGTGGTGAACCCTCTCATCCCCCACACCTCTGGCCTACACCCCAGCTTGTGTATGCATAAATACATCATTTTTTTTCTTTTTTTTTTTTAAAAGATTTTATTTATTTATACAAGCACTGGGGTACAGGCCACAGGCATGGGAGGGTGAGAGAATTCACCAGAGACAGAGCAGGGAGCAGAACAGGCAAAAGGACCTAAGTACACTGCTGAGGGGAGCAGTGGACGAGGCAGGAGAGGTCTGCCCTGCCATGTGGGAATCTCCCTGGCTGGCCAGGAATCGAACCGGTGCCGCAGAGGCTGCGGACAGCTCTACAGCTCTGTGTTTAACTTGCTGCGTCACCAGGGAGGCCCATAAATAAATAGATCTTTGAAAAAAAAAAATGTAACTATTCCCCTTGCTTACTTTCAGTCATTTGTTTATTTACATTTAAGGCTGAATTTACCTACCATCTCTCACAGCTTGGAATAATTACCACAATTCATTTCACTCCAGTCAGTCTAGAGATCCCTGAATCTCTAGATGGAGGAACAGTTTTTTTTTTAGGTCTTGTAACTTTAAGGAGGTATACTATTCAGATGCTGATTTCTCATTAAGTGAAAACAACATTACATCTACTTTGAAGACTTACTGTAGAACTAACTGAAGTCAAATCTTTTAAAAATATTTTATAAACCTTAAATGTTAAAAGGAGTTTGGTAGGGAATTAGATTCTTAAATCAGTAAGTAAAGATAAAAACTGAGTGCAATAAAAATCACTTAGAAGTTTCTTAAATTGCCTGCGAGTGAAGGAAGATGCTCACACTTGAGGCACATGAGAACAAAGACCCTTTGAAGGATAATTGAGACAAAAATGCTCTTAGTAAAATTGCCAGTGGAATCACTGCACTATAACTTATTTTACCTTCTTTTCTCTTTCTGCCAAATGCATTACTGAGTCTAATGGTGCAACCTGTGTTAATCTTCTACAATTTTATGCTGGCAAGTCAAGAAACCCAAGGGCCTCTCTTATTGATCTAATGATATAATTCATGTGCATCAGGGTTCCATTCAATGTTATTTAACAAATATTTTCAGAGTTTACTACGCTTAGTACATTAGGGCTGTTGTGCTGGATGTCAGAAAAAAACACCAGGAGGCACAGTCTGACCACAAAGAGCTGGTAAGCAGTGAAGCAATTCCTTAAATCAATTGTGATTTAAGGAATCCGGGTTTCATTGATTGGTTCCTGGGAAATGCAGTGTATCTTTAGAAAAAATTATGGAAAGTTACATATTTTGTGTGAATACCGTGCACAATTTTGTGTGAATACCAAGCTACATCTGATATGGTTGTTACTTTGTTCCCCTGGTGCTGTTTATTTTGCTACTAATTGAATGCAGGTGAACTTTTTTTTTTTTAACTCAGGCTAACCCTTAGTAGTCTTTAAAAATAAATTTTATTTATCTTTGCGTAGAACTAGAGTGCAAGCCGGAGGTGCAGGGAGTGATTCACCAGAGACAGAGTGGGGAGCAGAACAGGCAGATCTACTAAGTACACCGCTGAGGGGAGCAGTGGGCCAGACAGGAGAGGTCTGCTGCCCATATGTGGCTGCCTGGCCTGAGATGGAACTCAGGCAGTCGTGCTGCCTTCCTGTGTCTCTATTCTCTATGCCCTTCCAACCCCCTCCATCCTTGCGCGGCGGTAGTGCTAAGACTTAACCTCTAGGCCACCAGGGAGGCCCTAACCCTTAGTATTTTTTTTTTTAATTTATTTATTTATTTTTTATAGAGGCGTGCTTTATTTATTTATTTATTTCTTTGTTTGTTTTGTTTATACATGCACTGGGTACAGTCAGAAGGGCGGGAGGGTGAGAGAATTCACCAGAGCCAGAGCAGGGAGCAGAGCAGGCAGAAGGACCGAACGAAGTACACTGCTGAGGGGAGCAGTGGGCGGCAAGAGAGGTCTGCGCGCCATGTGGGACCCTCCTCCGGTGGCCGGGGAGCAGCCGGGGATCGAACCGGCGCCGCAGAGGCCGCGGGCAGCTTCGCAACCCAGCGCTCAACCGCTGCGCCACCAGGGAGGCCCCACCCTTAGTATTTTTTAATTGAAAAATAGAAACATATGGCAAAATTCAAACTGTACAAAAAAAGTAGACGAGAAGCAAGTCTTTTATTCCTGATAACCCTTTTCCCACCTCCCACTCCATCCTCACTCACGCCCAGCATATTCAGAGGTACTCTTTGTATCAATATTTAAAAAAACAGTATTTGTTACGGTGATCCCTACCATCCAAAAGTTAAACACAGAACTACAGAATCTCTAAAGTCCGTCCAGCGCTAAAATTAAGTCGTAGTCTTTGCAGCACACGCCGTACTGAGGGTACAAGCGATCGTCTCGCTTTCTGCTTTATGCGTGGTTAATAAAAAGGACTGATAAATGTAAACTGAGTCAAAAACATAACCTAGACCCAGAGCTCTGAAGGTCAGAGGACAAGACGTAGGCACTTCCATGGTAAGTGGTTTGTTGACTAAAGGTCGTCTCCAGCATGTAAACTCCACGAGGGGAGGAATCTCACTACCAGGTTTCACCTGGCGCACAGGACAAACTCCTGGCCAGACGCGTGGCCTCTCCCCGGAGCCATGTGACTCGCGCCCCGGCCTCCCCACACCCTGGGCGTCGCAGCGTCGGGCCCGCCCCAACCAGCGGCCTCACCGGTTCCCAGGGAAGTCAGATTAGGTTGGGCCAGGTGAGGGGCGTGTCCCACGAACCACAACGCCTCACAGCTGCGTCTCGTGCAGCTCATTCCACTTGCCTCCGAGTCTCGAGTGCTTGCCCCGCCTTCCCACCCCTGACACGACGCTCCAGATTGCAAATGGGAGGCGCGGAGGAGCCAGAGTGGGGCAAATGAGCATGCGTGTTGGCGCCGCGCCGCAGCCGCTCGTAAAGATAAGGGCGGAGCTTCAGGAAGCGGAGCGAGGGTGAGGCGACAAGTCCCCAGTGCGCGTGCGCGCCCGGCAGCCCTGCCCGGCTCCACACGCTCGGCGCGGCGTGGTGACGCCAGTGCGGCCCGAGGAAGGGGCGGGGCCGGGGCGGGCCTCCGCGCTCCTCCGCCCCCTCTCGCCCCGACTCTCCCTCCCCCCTCCGTCCCCCCACACTGGGCCCCGTCAGCTTGGGGGTGCCTTCGTAGCTTAGCGTTGCGTCGGCTCGGCCCGGCCCGGCCCGCGGGCAGATGCCCCGAGCTGCCACCGCCGCCGCCGCCGACTCGGCCGGTGGCGGTGTGGGAGGCTGACGTCTGGCTCGGGCCGCCGAGTGTGACCGACGGGGTCGGGGGGCGCCGGGCGTCGGCGCCTTCGCGCGGACCATGTATTTCCTGAGCGGCTGGCCCAAGAGGCTGCTCTGCCCGCTGGGCAACCCGGCTGAGGCGCCTCTTCACATTCAGTCCGACCCCCACAGGACTTTCTTCGCCGTGCTGGCCCCGGCCCGCCTCAGCATCTGGTACAGCCGAGTAAGTAGAGCCTCCCGCCGCTCCCTTCCCGGGGTCCTGGCACCGTCCCGCTCCCAACTTCCACCCGGAGTCACGGACCCCTCCCTCTCCCACCCTCTCCTCTGGCCGCATCTTCGTTCCACCTACTCGGCCCCTCGTAGCTCCCGAACACGGCCGGGACTTCGGGGTGCTGCCGAAAACCCCTGAGCCTCCCGGCGTTGGACCGACGGCCGTGCTCGGTGCAGACCCCGCGCGCTCCCTCAGCCGAGCCCAGACTTGCCCTCCTCTCCCTTCCCCCTCTCCCCGAGGAGCAAAATCTCTTTAAACTTTCCACTTTTAGAATCTGGCCTCTGTTGGGTTCCAAACCCCCCTGGCTTGAAAGGCTGTTGTTTTGGGAGTTAAGCAAAGCCTGTTGGGCTTTACCCAGTGCCAGACTTTACAGGCCTGTGATAATTTACCGCGAGAAGCTACAGCAGAGTTTTTTTGTTTTTGTTTGTTTGTTTTTAATTAAAGGTTGTCCACCTCACCCCAACACCTCCATCCCATTTTGTTGTTAGTTCTTTTTACTGCTGGTCTTAAACGCTTCGGTGGAGAATTGTAGGGGTTTAGGAGGAGCGGAAGTGGAACTCCAATCTGTCTGCGTTCCTCGCTGGTTTACACACCTGGAAATAATATTTGGGAAGATGAGGAAACAAAGTTCTGGCTCTGCTTTCTGTGAATTCTGGTTATCTTTTTTTTTTTCTTCTTCTCGTATCTAATTACTGAGTAGATAAGAAAAATAGCTTGAAAAATAAGTGATGCTTGGGATACTTCTATTCTCCGCAAACCGTGATGATTTTGTCTGTAAAAGCAGCCGAATAGAGCATAAGAACGTGCTTGTTCTTTCTTTTCTTTTTTTTAAAAAGGCAGTACTAATCGATATCAGTGAAGTTTTTCCATAGATAATTTGACAATGTGGGCATAGGTTGTGACCTTGGCCTTATTAGAACTACATGAAATACTGGCTTTGGTTAAAATCCCCAAATATTTGTGCTAACCCTCATCATTTGAGTGGTAAAAGTGATGATGGGATTGAGATGGTTTTAGTATCACCTTAATTTGACTGTCATTGACAGCAAGTCAAACAATTTGCGATTAAATTTTGGTTTATTTAATGTTTAAATATGTGTCAACAAAATAGGCTGTTAGAAAACCAGCTATGTGACTGTTCTGTCTGGTACTTGATTGCATTTTTCAGTAGTGTGTTTATGATTATACAACATTTGGTTCTTAAATGAGATAATTCATTTCCGTTGTGTATGCCAATTAAATATTTTTAATTTGTGTCTATAACTTTTAAAGGACATGGAGAAAAAAATTACACCTTGAATTTTAAATTGCCTTCCGAATTTAGTACATAATTTCACTCTAATGTAACAGATTGTAAAGCTTTTCTTAAGGGGAAGACTTCATTTTAGACACAACTAAACTTCATCTGAGGGGGTTTGTAGACCACTTTAATCCTCTATAAAAGAAACGAAAGTGTGCCTTAACTAACGCAGGTATATTGTGAATATTAAGAATATCTGTATTTTTCTTTTGGAGTTAGTTACTATATAGATCTAAGGCAGACCTGGAATTCAGAAAAGTCATAGTCCTTCAAACACCCACCCCCTATACAAATACAATAGCTCCTCACTTCAGAGGTCATGGGCTGCTACCATTAAGATCTAGCATGTGAAAAGTTAGAGCATATACGGGTTCAGAAGTATGAGGTGAAATGAAATGCAGGATTACCTAGGGGAAGCTGCATGGTACTGTATGTTTGTGAATGGTTAGCCTTGATCTTTTTTACTTTAAGACTCAAGTATTGGCTGAATTTAAGGTTCATGATTGTATAACTGGGTCAATGAGGAACAGGTGCCAGACTTCAGTCTCTAATCTCTTCGTTCTGGAATATAACTTTACTCACAAAGTTTATGTTTTTATTTTGACTTTAAACATTTTTGAGCTTCTTGGAAAAAAATGTAAGTTAAAATAAATTTAGGTTCACAACTTTTTTTTTTAAAGATTTATTTATTTATGCATACAAGAGCTGGGTTACAGACCAGAGGTGCAGGGGGTGAGAAGATTCACCAGAGATAGAGTGGGGAACAGAACAGGCAGATGTACTGCAATATACTGCTGAGGGGAGCAGTGGGCAAGACAGGAGAGGTCTGCTGCGCCATGTGGGTTGCTCCCTGGCCAGCCGGGGATTGAACTCGTGCTGCAGAGGCTGCGGATAGCTTCATAGTGCTGTGCTTAATCCCTTGCGCCACCAGGGAGGCCCCACAGACTTCTTTTAAACCAGAAACACTATAGCTGGAAGCTGTCAATTGTCCCTGCATAACTTAGAGTGAATTGTTTCAAAATAGTTGCAGTGAACATGCATGCTTTAATTTTAGAAAGCTGTATATGCATTTTTTAATAAAGATGCATTTTTAAAAAGAGAAAACTAGCCTTGTATAAGGAAAGTGCATTTAATAGTCTGATTTTTTAATGTCCAAAAGAATTGCTGTGTAAATTGTTGATTAGTCATGAGGCTGATGATTTACTTGAGTGTTGTGTGAGATGAATTGTGTTTTGTACTATAAAAGGGGGCCGAAATTTTCATCTTTAATATACCAAACTGAATAGGGAAGTATGCATATGTAAACAATAAAATAATAGCTCAAAAAACTAATTTCAAATTAGTCTTAACAGTTTTCAGGTTATAGATTACTTTTCATACATAAATTACTGTCAGATATTTTCTAACACTTCCTGTGAAAGTTACCACCAGTAGACAGTATTTGAAAGGGATGAAGAGGTATGTTACATATAAGAAAACTTACTATTCAAAGACACTAGTGTGCTAATATGATAGAGGAAAATTTTGTTTGTAAAGGTTGTTACCATAAAGCTGAATTAGGCCAGTAATTCTGGGCTTAAGAAATAAGTTGTGTCTTTGAGTGACCCTTGGAAGAAATTTTTGTTCTTATTGGTATACTAATAATGGTAAATTAAACAATGAAATAGATATCCAAAGCAGCAAATTGTGTCATCAAAACTATGGTTAACTGGATCTCATAAAAGCCATTTAATTTGTACCTACATTTCCTACCTCATTTCTCTTCCTTACATATTCATTACGTGGAAGTATTTCAGGGTTTGCTTGGTTAAAGAGTGAAGTTCAAACTCCTTAGTTTGATATCAGAGACACTCCCTTCTTGGAATGCTCTTTTATCCCATCTCTGCCTATCAGAATATTATCCATCCTTTAGCTTCTGTTGAAATCTTGCTTTATCTCTGACTCATTCTTTGTTTACCATGACCAAAAGTCTTCATTTTTTTGATGAACTACTGTTTTTAAGTTTTGCACATATGCTTTCCAGCTAGATTATAAGTTTCTGGAGGGCAGAAAGCATCTTGTTTTTTATTATTCAAAATGCTTTCCACAAAGCAGGTGCTTAATGAATATTTTTAAAACAAGTGAATTTAGGATACCTGTCCTATGCACAGCATAGAATTTTTTAAAAGGCTTAATAATTGGTAAATTTGTAAATGTCAATATGTGAATTTTGAAAAGCTGATGGAACTAAATTATAACTTAAATTCAGAAAATCTACAATTAGTGAGGGTTATGTAAGTGGAGGCAAATTAAGCACTTTATTATATATAGTCCATGTTATATTAGAAAATTAGTATGTTTTCACAATAGCAAATATATGGAAACAACCTAAGAGTACATCAATGGATGAATGGATAAAAATATGTATTTAATGCAATGAAATGTTATTCATTCTTGAGAAAGAGGGATATCTTATTGTTTGCAATAACGTGGATGGACCTTGAAGGCAATGCTAAGTGAAATAAATCAGATGAAGATAAATGCTGTATGACATTTTTTTATATGTGGAATCTTTAAAAACTGAATGCATAGGAACAGAGACTAGAATAATTGTTAGTGGAATCTGGGGGTTGGGGGGTAGGGAGACTGGGGGTCCAAGAACACAAACTTCCAGCAGTAAAATAAATTGAGGATCCTAATGCATGCATAGTGATTATAGTTAATAATATTATATATATATATATATTTGAAAGTTGCTCGGAGAGTGCATCTTAGGTATTTTCAAGGAAAGAAATGGTAATTATGTGATGCAGGTGTTAGCTTATACTGTGGTGGTAATCTTTTTGTAGGATACAGGTATCAAATCAGTATCTTAAACTTAAGCAGGGCTATATGTCAATTATAGCTCAGTAGAAATAGGAGGAAAAGTAGTACATGATAAAGGGTCCTACTTTAATTATTAAATAATCTGTATTTACCAAAACTTAAACGGATGTGTTATGTCAGCTTTATTTAGCATAGTGTTTTTGTATTACTCCTTTTTTAACTGATAAGTATTATTCCACTGTATTGATATACCACATTTTAAAAAATCCATTCTCCTGTTAATGGGTATTGTTTCTAATTTTGGGCCATTATGAATAATAGTGCTACAAATATTTGTGTTCATGTGTTTGTGGATGTGTTATCATTTCTTGTGGGGAGATACTAGGAATGAAATTGCTAGGACATGGTAAGTTTAAGTTTCACTTTTTAGGAAGCTGCCAGACTGATTGGAAGTAGGTGTAACATTTTACATCCCTACCAGCTGTGTACGAAGATTTCTAGTATCTGCACATTCTTGTCACCACTTATTATTGTCAGTCTTTATTATAACCATTTTAGTGGGTTTATAGTGGTATCTCACTGTCACTTTAATTTTTTGTTCTGATAGCTAATAATTAGCATCTTTTTATGTGCTTGTACACAGTATTTTGTAAAATGTTACTGACCTCTTAAATAGGAAGGTGGTTTTGCCTGGTGATTACAGACAATGACACAACAACCAGGCTCTGTAAAGCAGAGCAAGATGTTTTATTCTCTACCCTGATGATGTAGAAAAGGGGGAACTTGTTCCAAAGCATCTTTCTCCCCAGGCTTGGGGTGAGGTGAATGTATAAGGCTTTGGGGGCAG